AATTTTAAAAATTAATAGAACGCATTTAATTACTTTAGTTTCTTAAATTGTTTTCAATTCTTTTTTCATTCCTTTACTAAATACTGAATTGTTTTGTATAATAGCATTTCCGGATAAGCATCTGATTATAAATCAATTGTGAGGCAAGAAAATTGCCAATAATGGATGCAGAAGTTATTAATGCTGGCACTTGTGCTACAAGATATCTTGTTTAGTCGTATAAGTTTAAGGTAGTAAATGTACAGGAAAAATATAAAAATCGAGGAACTGAGTCACATTTGCAGAGCTCATTCAAAGCCCGAAAAGTAAAGGTAATTCTAAATAGGGATACCTAGCATTACCTGCAACATTTAATTTTTGAGTCGATCTGTAGAGAATCACAGAAATAACTAACGTATTGAGTTTGCGGCATATTCAGTTCAAGATTTCAAGTCTTTCGGCAGACGCCCGGAAAGAAAGACGGAGATTGCACGAAATTAATATAATCGTAAACCTATTAAATCTATGGCGAATATAATGAAATGCATGCAGTGTATCGACCACATATATTCAAGTTGATTCAGATTGATTCAAGATTGATTGATTCAGATTGATTCAAGTTTATAAATGTTTGCCCAAAGAAGATTGTAAGTGGAAACTAATATTAGGGAATACTTTCTTTATAAGAAAGAAATTCTGATAGTGATTTGTACTTCTTTAATACCTAAGTGTAACTCAATAGAAGATAGAAAAACAAGTTCAAACATTTGAAGTCTATGCTGAATGGAAGTGTATGGAAAAATGTACTTAAACATTCTAAAAATAGAATCGCGCTAGACTTACAAGAGTTTCATATAAATAAGTATTTTATAACACTTTTCCCTTCGAAAGTAAATTGATATATGAATTTGACACTTACTGAAATCAATGAGCAGCCTGCCGTAGCCCTTGCGCTGATATGGAGGCAGAGTCAGAATGCAGGAGACGTTATAAAATGAGTTCTTCTCCTGCAGAAAGGGAATATGCTGAAAGAAAAGAAGATAAAAGAATGTTTAATGAAATAATTAAACTTAAGTTAAATGAAAACAAAAAAAACTTTTATCTGCTCGAGTTCACATCATTTTTCTTTCGTAATAAACAATACCATATCATTTATTAAAGTTATGAATTAATTGTTAATTCAATCGATAGGAAAATGCTTGAGGCTGCCTCCCACCGAGCGGAAAGTCAATCAGCCAGACATATGTATAGAAGGAGCTGTCCCTGGATAGAGCTGGGGGCTCAGACAGTTTCGGTTGGGGGCTCTCTGTCATTTGATGCTTCTAGCTTTTTCGGGAGTTCAATGACCAGGCGTCGCAGAAATTGAATCGATGCTCTGCAGCGTGCAGTGCGTAAATACAGACATACACACAAACACACGCATACAGACACGTACGCAGCGTATATAGCACATATGTATTTGGGTATATAGCTAGTATTATGTGCATATAAGCGTCAGGGGCAAACGCGCTAATAGAGAGCGGGCGAGACGACAAAGAGATTCAAACCAAGTTTTCGACTGTGCAGTCGCCGGATGCTGGCAGAGGCGGGGGGCGAGTGCGGGGATGTGGGGGCTGCCAAAAAATAACGGCTGGGTGTGAACTCCAAAAGGCAACAATTCGCAATTCGCAATTCGCAATTCGGAAATACATTTATGTACTTTGCATTTTTATTCTTTGTTTGCCGCGTCGTCTGCCACGATGTCTGGGAACGCACATACGCGTCCCGGCCCGGCCCGGCCAGGCCAGCAGCTGGGCTTTCTGGCCAACACCCCAACCAGTTGGAGCAGGCGCACGACTCTCGGCGCAGCGACCGTCGAGGTGCACGACCTCAATCGTGTACGCCCCAGCCGTGGCAGCATCCCTGGCTGGTTCAACTGCCTGCCCCAATCCGTCATGTCTGGCTGCTGTCTGGTGGCATAGTTGCGCAGTATGATGCCGCATGGTGGCAGGGCCAAGGTACTCCAAACACACACACACACACACAGATAGACAAAGCATTGCCAAAAATTAACCAACTGTGAGTGTGAGCCATGTAAACTAGAAACACCCGAATTGTGAGTAGTGTGTAACCAGCTGCTGCTGCTGCTGCTTCTGCTGCTGCCTCGGCTGCATCTACGGACTTTGGGATGAATGGAATACAGAATACAACACCAACTACGCTCGGTACCAGGACTGGGTTCTGGGTCTGGGATTGTGTGCCTGCGCAGCAGCCCGGCGCGACATGCGCAATTTGTAACACAAACCCAGTCTCTGGCAGCGCCCAAAAAACTTGTATGCAACTGCAAATGGCAGGAGGAGCAGGAGGCGGAGGACGAGGGAGACGGAGAGGGGCGCAGTGGAGGCATCTTGCAGCTGCAGAGCTCAGCCGAGCTAGACGCCATGTTCAGGGGGAGGTCAAGAAACCGTGTGCACATGCCAGACAATATACTTTGTGTTTATGCTTTTTTTTCTCTTCTTCTGCTTCTCTGCATGCCTCTTTTTTTGTAGTTTTGCTGGGGAAATCTCCACACTTTGGTCTGGCCGTTTTTTTACGCCCCTTGGCTGGTGTCAGCTTATTTACTCCAGCCCCATTTTTTTTGACAAAACAATTTTTGGGTATGGTCAAGAATGCTGCCTGTCTGGGCACATAGCAGCAGCAGCAGCAGCAGCAGCAGCAGCAGCAGAGACTATCCATCTCCCATGTATTACATGGATTCTGGATGGGATTCGGGATGCTGTATATTCAGCGGTTCTGGGCTCTGGGCTCTGGGCTCTGGGTTCTGGGCTGGGCCCAGCTCAGCTCAGCTCGGCTCTGTCTGCAGACATAAAAGAATCATAAAACTGTGAAATGGTATTATTCAATTTGATTGCAAGTAACAAACTAAAGCTTATACGTAAATTCCACAAAGGGAACCTAGTAGGGTATGATTTTAAGAGGGGCCTAATAGATTATATAGATAATAGTTATAATAAATCATTTAATATAGTATTTACTATAAAGATCAACGAAAAGTTTGTAAACATTCATTGTATGCAAAATTTCTGTCAGTTTTCAATGACATAGGGGAAACCCCGAATATCCATCTAATCTAATCATATCTAAATGACTTCAAAAAAGAATTCAGAGAAAGAGAAAAATAAGAGAGCCATAATATCTATTGATATGAAACTGAGAATCATTCAAAAACATAACATGGTTGATTTAGGATTTATGTACGTTCAAGTTTTCGATCTCAACGATTTCTACCATCCTCAAGAATAAGGACAAGCTTGATGTCGTGAATGTCTCAAAGGGAGGATCAAGATTGTCTTCTCAATAATGATGTTGAAAGACTCGAGTTTTTCCGTCCGAAGCTTAACTGTTCCTAGACTCCTGTCAGAGTGACGACCTGACAGAGCATAGAGCATTTTTATTTAATTCAGCCACGAAAAGACCAAAAATTCATAAAATGCATTATTAAATTAGGCAAAGTATTAAATAACCTTTGTAATGCCAGGTTTTAATGTGTAATTTAAATATGCTATATACACAAATTTCATTTATATTTAATGCAACCCGTTTCAAAATTCTATTTCAGCTATAGTTATTGACATACATAAAGTTGAATGACAAGGGAATCTCGAATGTTATGTTTATATCATATTAACATAGAACAAGCTAGGCAGATAGAATATGCATACATGCTATACATACATAACTAGAAATTTATATTGCAGTAGATTCACATTTATAAAGAATTATTACTGTATAGGAAAACATATGAATACATGGAGCACAGATATGGAGGAGATGGAATAGAGACGTTTGAAATAAAGACATAGTAAAGAGACTTGGGTTAAAGGTGTGAAACACAGATATGGAACAGAGACATGGACAAGGACATGGAAGAGAGGCGTGATATAGACAGCTACCAGATATGAATTGGTCAATTTCAATATTAAAAGTTCCTAATATAAAGCCCATTAAAATGCCCAAGTTAGTTAATCCGACATAACTGAATCACGTAAGATTCAACGAATTTTAAATTGTAAATTAAATAAACTTATGTATCCAACAATTCCTGAACTAATCCATGTCATGTCAATAGCTCACCTTGCTGAAGTAGCCCACAATGTGACATCCATCGACATCTGCCAGTGTCATGATGTAAAAGAGAAACGGCTCCACGTCATAGTAGAGCGTCTTGTGGTCGAGGAAGAACTTGGCCAGCAGACACAGGTGTTGGCAGTATTGCTTATACCGTTTGCCATCCACCTGCCACACCTGGAGTTTGCCCTTGCGATAGATCTCGTCGCCGGGTGGATGCCGCCAGACGCATTTCTGGGCGTGTCGCTTGATGCCCGTCTCGGATTTCTGATAGCGCAGGCAGAACTCACAGATGTACATTTTGGGCAGGCGGGCGGCGTCATCTGGATAGGGCGACTGATACCACACCTTCATTTTGTATTTGCCCATGCTGATGTATCTGCAAGGAAACTGATTAGATATAAACTTGAGGTAGGGTAAACTCGAACGCACTTGATGCCCTTGCCAACGGGCAGATCTTTGAGCTCGTCCTCAATGCGCTCGGAAGCCAGAGCCTGGGCCTCGCGAAACAGCTGCAAATCGTAGTCGGGCACCAGGCCAGCGAGATTTGGTTCACGATCTTCGTCCGTGCAGTCTTTTTCTATCTTCACCTGAAAGCAGGAAATGCCTTATTGAATGAACTATACATATGGCAGTGATATATTCACCTTGTCGTTCAAGAAGGAGTTACTCATGGGCCGGAAATTGGCGCGTGATTCGCGTATTTTGGCCAGGAACTCACGTTGCTCGGGCGTCAGGGACTTGAGATTGTTGTTCTGATTGCCCGGCGCGCTGACAATGTTGATGGGCATCTTGAGGCGCATCTCGTTGCGCAACTTGCGTTCGTTTGCGCGCTCCTTGCACTCCGAGGCGGACATGTTGTGGAAGATGGGGCAGGCCTCGGGCAGGAAGTGGCGATCCAAATTGCCGCTCAAATGGCCAGACGAATCACAGCCCTCGATGGGGCACTTCTTCTCCAGCTGAACGGCCGGCGAGACGGGTCGCGACTTCATTGAGTTCATCTCCTTCTTCACCTTGCATTTGCTGTTTAGTCCGATGTGGGCTGTGGGCGGCTTTTTGGCCGGACTCTTGGAGAGCACACGCTGCTTGTCGTCCTCCTGATCGAGATCCGCATCAGATTCGCTCTCGCTGCCCGGCTTCAGCTGCTGCTGCTTGGAGCGGCGCATGCTCAGCGAACGCGTCAGCTTGCGCATGGGATTCGCCTTATCCTTGCGCTCCTCCTCGCTGTCGCCGGCTCCAGCAGCAACGCGCTTGCCCTTGGCATTCGATTTGCCCGTCGCCGGCTGAGAGCTGTACGAGTTGGTTGAGTCCGTGCCTTCCGACTCGCTAATGGAGCTGGTCTCTGAGCCTGAGCCACTATCCGAATCATCGCTGCCATCACTGCTGCGGCTCTTTCCGCGCCTGGCTGCAGCAGCAGCTGCAGCTGCAGTCGGTCCGTTCTTGTTGTTGCTGTTACTGGCGCTATTCGTTTTGGCCTGCAGCGCCTTGGCGCGTATTTGCTTGGCCCGCACAGCGGTCGCAGTGCTGGCCAGCTTGAGCGGCACTTTGCGTCCGTTTTTTACATCCTTGTGCGAGTCATCCGTGCTCATGGAGGAGGAGCTTAATGACGGTCGCTTGTTGTCCCCATTGCGCTGCGATTGGGCCGTGGCTTTGGCTGTCTGCGGCGCTTTGCTGCTACCGGCTGCTCCGCTCGCTGCCTGCTTGGCCGGCGCTCCTGTAGACGGTTTGCGGCGGGCGGCCGCTGATGCCACGTTGTTGCTCATGGTGCGTGGATTCTTCTTCGCTGGCGGCTCATCGTCGTCGTCATCATCGTCGCTGGATAGTGCACCATTGCGCTGATTGCTGGCCGCCACCACAGAGCGCACCTTGCTGGAGGCAGAGCTCAGAGTGCTGTGGTTGCCCGCCGTTTTCGGCTTCTCACTCTCTGCCGGCGTCACTGTCGCCTTGCGACGCACAGCGGCTGGTTGTGTCTTTGCAGGCTGTGGCTTTTCCTCGGGACCGGCGACTGCCGAACTGCTCGAGTCGGTGTCCGACGAGCTGCCCGTATCGGTGCAGCTGGATGAGCCACTTGATGAGCTGCTGCCCGACGTCGAGCTCGAACTGCTGCCAGATTCCATGTTGATAAACAAAACGTAAATAGAACTGTGGGATGCTCGCTTGCAACGCGACTCTTCTGTTTTTCTTCACTCGGGCGTAATTTCTTTGCTATGAGAATGCACTGCACTAGCTTATTATTATATGCGTTCAATTTTTCTGCATAAATTTGCGAAAATTTGATGTTTGTATTATTTTTGCAGCAAAATGAACAAATGAGCTATAAGGTTCAGCACTGAACTAGTTCGTGGTGGCATTTCGAGTGAACAGCTGTCACGTTGGCACGAACTGAGAAGGTTACTCAAGGGTAAGTTTGTAACTAAATGTATATAACAATATCTATAAATATTGTACACATTTTTTGCTTTTACTAGCTGAAAATTTAAATAAAAGAAAAGTTTTTCTTCGAATATAGCACATTGTATTTAGATAATCATTGCCAGTAAGACCGTGACGTCACATATGCTTGATAAGTTTMAAGCGATTATTCTGTCGATAAACATTACGTTGATTAGACTCGGTTAATAAAGCAAAAAAAAAAAAAATAAAATAATAATAA